TGCATCTGGTCCCCATTGGTGCCGGAGACGAAGAGCCCCAGACGCGAGCGTGCTGCAATCAACACTTGCCGGCGCTGGAGACAACGAACACCCCGTGGCTGGAACAAGCCTGTGCAGATGATACAACCGGCATCGTTAATAGCTTCAACCGGCTTCAGAAAAGTTTCAACCGGCCACATTTTTTGCTACAACCGACCGTCACCGGAGCTGGAACCAGCACTGTTTTGCTGGAACCGGCCGGAGAGAGAGCTGGGACCAGCAATTTTTTTTGCTGCATCCGGCGACAACATCTTTTTCGATAAGGAGCTGCAACCCACAACATCGGGGATGATGATGCTACAAGCACGAACTGGGACCGGAGCCTGCAGGCGCCGACGTGCTGCACGGGGATGCTTCAACCATCTACGAAAAAGCTGTTAACGGCACTCGACGAAGCTACAAGCAGCAACGGAAATTGCTACATGCGTCATTCTTTCTTGCAGGGACAAGAGAGAAGCAGGTGTTACAACCGGTGCACATCGGAGCTACAACCGTCAACCCAAAATGCTACGACCGATGGCATTTTTTGCTGGAACCAGAGAAAGAATAGGCTTTGACGGACGTGCGTCATAGCTGCAACCATACTGAAAAATGCTACGTCCGGCAATCAAAAAAGCTACATCCGATTTTGAAAAAAGCTTCAACTGGATACGGGGTAGCTGGAGGTCGGCCACCGTGCAGCCAAAAAAAGCTGCAACTGGCGTCGAGAATAGCTACAACCCGCTTCTAAAAAAGCTTCAAACTAAAAACAGCTAGATAACAATGGCGACCGGCGACGACGGCGCTGTGTGGCGGTGCTGTGATGGGCGCATGGCGAGCTACGCCAGCAGGCCGGTGGCGACGCTGGAACCCTCATCCGGTGGTGCTGCAATCCGGGGTTGTGACACACGTCGAGATGCAAGGCGGAGCTGCATCCGGCGAGCTGCGGGTGTGGCGGCCTCGGCGATCTGCGACATCAACCGGCCACCGTGAGCTGCGACGTCGAGCAGGCCCGGCGAGGTCGATGGGGCGGTCGAGCAGGCCCGGCGAGCTGCGACGGGGCGGCCAAGGGCGCGCACGAGGCGGCCAAGGGGCGCGCACGAGGAGGCTGACCTGCAGATTTCTTTTTCTCCCTCGCACAAGAAAGAAGAAGGTAAGGGGGAATCGTTTTCTTCGGTGGGATCCAACGGCCCAGGCGGTCGGATCCAACGGCTGCTGTGCGACCGGCCCAACAGTTGGGCCGGTGCGCCGGCGCAGATCGTTGCCCTTTGTAATAATGCACACAACATAACAAATTACAATACCAAGTTAACAACATTCCCATATACCTGTAACAAGGAGCGCTTCCCTACCTCCGCTCTACTCTGCTACGGACCAGATCGGAATCAGCGTCTCAACCACACACACCTCATGTCACTGTACTTCGCGGATGCCGGCGCTCCATGGCACATTCCTGCGTGCGCAATGCGCAATTCCATCCTGTCATGCACGCATGCGGGGCTGGACCGGCTAGCAGCTAGCGTTCACCACTGGTACTTGGCCTTGACGAGGACGTCCTCGTAGAGCTTGGCGGCATGCTCCCAGCTGAAGTCCTGCGACATGCCGCGCTCCTGGAGCCCCCTCCAGCTCTCCTTGTAGTCCCGGTAGGTGCGGAGGCAGTGCCCGAGCGCCTCGATCAGCTTCTGCGCCTCTGCGCGGTCGAACGTCCACCCGAGCCCGGAGTGGTTGAAGGGGTCGAACGGCGGCACGGTGTCCCTCAGGCCGCCGACGGCATGCACGACGGGGACGGTGCCGTAGGCCATGGCGTAGAGCTGGTTCAGTCCGCACGGCTCGAACCGGGAGGGCATGAGGAGCGCGTCGGCGCCGGCCGTGATCCGGTGCGCCAGCCGCACGGAGAACCCCACCCACCCGCGCACCTTGTCGTGGTGCTCCCGCTCGAAGTGCCGCAGCATGCCCTCCAGGTCGTGGCGCCCGGTGCCCAGCATGACCAGCTGCACGTCCTGGCTCACGATCCAGGGCATCGCGTCCGCGATGATCTCCACGCCCTTCTGCCCGTCCAGGCGCCCGATGAAGCCGAGCAGCGGCACGTCGCCGCGGACCTGCAGGCCCAGCTCCCGCTGCAGGGCCTCCTTGCACTGCCGCTTGCCGGAGTCCAGCGTCCCCAGGGAGAAGTTGGTGTAGCCGTCCGACTTGAGGTGGACGTCCACCTCGGGGTTCCACTCCATGTTGTCGATGCCGTTCACGATGCCGCGGGTCTTCCAGTCGTTCTGCCGTATGATGTCGTGAAGCCCCCAGCCGCCCTCCACCGTCTTCAGCTCCCACAGGTACCCCGGGCTCACGACGACAACCTGGTCCGCCATCTTCAGGCCGGCGGCGAAGTAGTTGGCGTGTTCACCACCCACGGGGTCGTACAGTCTGAAGTGTTCCAGGTAGTGCTCAGGCAACTCGGTGAACGGGAACTCATCTACTGGGCCACGGCCCTGCATGCAACATCAATCAAGAGAAATAATTAGCCCAACAGAGTACCGAACAAAGGAATAACTGCGACCAAAGCATGTACTAATTCAGCAACTGTCAAGAGAAATAATTAGCCAATGGTGTACCGAAGAAATGAATAACTGTCCAAAGCATGTAATTCGGCATGTCAGATCCTCAAAAAAAATGTAATTCAGCATGTCAGTGTTGTATAACTTTGAGGTAAATGCACGGGTTGTGCTTAAACTTGCCACACATGTTCACATTTTTCCTTTTCGAACCATGCAGGAGAGCTGTATGTGATCATTATAGAGGATAAAAAAAATTACAAAGTCCAGAAAGTTCAGGCTACAGTTGAGCAAAAACGACCCCAAGCGCTTAGCCCAAGCGGCCTTAGCTAAAAAGTGACTCAAAGCAAATAGCCCCGGCCTTGTACCAGTAGAATACATCACATTTGATCTGGCTAATAACTTGATCAAAGAAATTAGCTTTGCCTTCAAAGACTCTTATGTTGCGTTCCTTCCAAATCGACCAAGCAGTCAAGACGACCAAACTATGCAACTTCTTGTCGAAGGTGGCACCCTGTTCCTAGCTGAAACCCACCATTCAGAGAACAAGGCATCTATGGCTGGAGCGACCATGGAGAGACAGATGTTTGAAATGGCACAACTCGTAATAAGATCACAAGTGTCTCCGGGAAGAGCAGAGCAAAGAACGCAATGTTCATTGTGCGGAAGACCTCGTCTAGCGCGTCTGCCCGTGATCTAAATCCTCTTGCGCAGTGCGAGCCATATGAAAAATTTGCTAAGCAAGGGGGCCCAAGAGCGCCAAATGGCGTTAGCTAGACCAAAGGCAAGTCATTGAAGTGAGCTACATATGCGGATTTAGACGAGAAGTGACCTGAGAAATTTAGTGTACACGACCAAATGTCTCAGACCTGACGGAGATGGAAATCATGAAGCGCCTCGCAAATGTTAAGAATTTGAATGAACGTTGCAATATTTATGGGATTCTTTGCGTCCCTGATCCAACACCAAGTAGTCATAGCTTTAATATGGTTCGGCGCCAAATTGGCAAATGCCCGAGGCAAATGATCCAACACCAAGAGCGCCAAATGGCGTTTGGGTACGAGGGGGAAAGGACAAGAGGGGCATGCTCACTATTTGAGGATGTTGAGGGTCTGTTCGGTATAGAGGAAATTCGCAGGAACATTTGACGGCTCGTTTTTCATTGGAATTCTTGCATGCAGTGCGTTCGGTTCAAAGGAATTTTGATGGTCTGTTCCATTGAAAAGTTGCGTGAGCCTGTACTTTTTATAGGAAATCTAAAATCCGGTAGAACCTCATGTGCTCGCGGAGTCCCGAAGCTAGCACTGCCTTTTTCCGCTACGCACCACAAGAGTAGGGCGTCCAGCCGAATAAAAAATAATAAAAACTGGTAATCACTACTGATGCCCATCCCCTCGTTAGGCTGGTCATAGTGGGGAGTAACATACACTAGTATCATGCATATGATACTAGTGTATGATACTACATCTATAGTGCATAATATCATAACGTAGTATCACAGATGGTCTCATTTATTGTCATGCATGACACATAGTAACATAACATTTATTATGATACGGTATCTAACTATGTTACTATGACTCTCTCTCTCTTCTTTAATTGCCTGCCACATAAGCATGTTTGTGAGTTCCAAGTACATAATATTAGTTATGTTACTCCCACTATGGTTAGCCTTACACTGGAAAGGGCCAAACAGTGCTGCTGCAAGTATGCTTTTTCCTGCAAACCGAACAGGCCGGTTTTTCTGGTACCTACGTTTTCAGATTCCACATGTTTTTACTGTTCACCAAACCTTGTTCCCATGAAGTTGTTTTTTCCTGCATTTTCTCTTCCTCCGTACCGAACGGAGCCTGAGGATTTTGTGCGTTGGGTTGGTGGATGGTCGTGACGACGACGTTGCCGCTTCGATCGATGGTGCGGAGCACCTGGGCCATCATGAAGGCGCTGGCCGTGTTGAAGCTGGAGGTGGGCTTGTTGAGGATGGCAGCCTTGGAGCAAAGGATATAAGCATAAGCATACATACCCCCCCCCCTTTCCCACACACACATACACAAGACATGAAGTGCATAGGGGGATTAATGATTAGGGCATGCTGGCTACCAGCATACCTGCGACGGCCCATTTTCAAGACCCCAGGCCATCATTTTCATTATAAATTTCCATTTATTTATGTCATAGGCTGACAAGTGGGGCCCACATGTAATAGAGGGTGTGTGGGCCCAATGGCGACGTAGGCATGGTCTAACAGCTATAGACGGGAATACAATGCCACACAGGCAATATTTGACTCCTACATACGGAAAATGCACCGTATTGCACACAACAGCCAAGTTTTTGCACTAGTTTTTTATTGTCTACAACTGTAAGCACCAAAGTGAACACGCGTGACAAGTGCAAGCACCACTGGTGCATTTACCTCTATAAGACTATAACTTTCATAAGCCATCATAATTTTGCAACCCGTTTAGTTTCCTCAAACAATGTGGAGTAAATAGTAGAGACTAGAGAAAAATCAAGATTTGGAGAAAAGGAACCTGGTGAGCGATGTTATGTATCACCATAATGGACCGAGTGTACTGCATCAAACCATGGTCCCTGTAATATGCTTTCAGATAGACAGGCAGGAGTGCCGTGTGCCAATCATTTGCAATAAACACCAGATTTCCATCCCCATAAGGGACACCGCCGCATGGAACGTGCCATGGAACCTGCAAATTATGGAGGAATAAAAATGATGGACCAATAATATTTAATGGGATGATATGCCAAGTGCGAAAATATCTACATTGGATGAAAGTAGGAGTGTATATTATTGTTTGTGGCAGGTGGAAATGCTATTTCCAAATCAATCGGTGAAGAGAACATGGAAACATAACGATGAAGTACCAAGGATCATCAAGATAATTGTTCATCAGTGCAATAGATTATTAGAAGTTAAATCATAACGCTTGACCAAATGTGCATGTAAGGTATTGAAATATTGTTAGTATATATGCACTTCACAAGAGATTACGTATCTGTTGAAATACATGCATACACGTAATTGTATAGTTGTAATAGGTTGTCAATTGAGTTGGAGAGGATACCTCGACAGCGGCCTTGCAGAACAAAATCATGCGCTTCATAATTTCCTGAAAAAATAAAATGTGTAATCATATGCCGGTCAGTAGGCCTTGGCTTGTTCTCAGTTTATCAGTGCAATCAAACACCAACATATAGAAGATTAACCTGTCTGCTGCCCCCATAAATGTCTTCCTGGCGGTGTCGGAAGAGAGGAGCGTCAATGAACACAAAATCAACTCCATCGATATAAGCATGGAAATAATTCACTTCCATATCCTGCAGGACAAAAAAAAACACTTAAAATTGATTTATTATGATAGTAAGCATTGAAATTTCAGCTCCCCTTTGATTGCATTTTCGCTTACCTGTCCAGCAGCCTTGTAGTATTTTCGGACTCCGACATCGTAGGCTTCCTCATAGTCCCCATACCTTGGTACCACAACCTAAGATAGAAAGGATCATTTCTCAATTATCATCAAATTTAAAATTTCAGATCATCAAAGTCTAGCCAAGTCCATGATTCTAGATTTTGAATAATATATGGTTATATGATACCATAACTATTTTCTACTTCTAATTTCTACAGAATAATTGGGATGTCTGCAGAAAATAGTTTACTTCTTTACTGGAACTAGTAAGAGCGTCTCTAACTGAATCCCGAAAGTCAACTCGCCAAAACCCTCTCTCACAAGCCAACTCCCAGAAATTCTGGGGTTTTGGTGGCTCTAACCGAACCCCAAAACTAGCTCCCAATAAAAATTGCATTGAAATGAAAGCTTGACAACATACATTTAGCCATCATCTACATTACAAACATCCACTGTTTACTAACAATTACAGTGAATATGATAGCAACCATTAACTGGAAATGTTGATAAATTGATCATCCAGTACTATAAATACACACACGGGCGCTGCCGATATTTGGTACTTAACTGAGGATAGGAACTACTTATTCGGACCTACAGGGCGGGTAAACCTGACGTCGGGCAAAACGGTCGATCGGGTACCCGACATTCATTCCCTTCACTGATGGCGTGGTTATCAGCCTTCTTTGTGAAATCCGACTGCTAACCAACACTTTTTTCAAACCCCCTCCCACACCCAGTAGGCCCCAACAACCTAACCTCCAGGGTTGGCTATGAAATACTCTATAACAGAAGAACACTTTCATGTCTTGCACTTAATAACATTATACTGCTCACTGATATTATTCGAACATATGGATTCAACAGAGTTAAATGAAAGCATGTGGTACCATAACACGATGTCCTCTCTTCGCCAAAGCCTTGGGCAAAGCACCGGCAACATCTCCAAGACCACCTATGCAACACAACGTTTGTTCTTATGAGTAATTCAAGCCAGGTTTTATGAACAGAGAGAAAAAAGACACTGAAGAGGTAATGTCCATGCCTGTTTTGCACCAGGGAGAACATTCAGCAGCCACGACGACCACGTTCATGACGTTCTCCCCTGCCAAAGGCCCGGAATCGTGATTCTGGTGGTGTTCGAAGGAGCCCGCATCATCTGCAACAGCCCGGCCATCATCCTTGGCCTCCACGGGCTCCTCGAAACCAATGTATTTCTTGAAGTCCCAAAGGTCTTGTTGTACAGCGGGTGCTGCAGGCGGCGAAAGAGCCTTTGGGTTTGGAGCTTCTTTGACAATGACCGCACCCTTCTTCAGTTCAAGTTCCACGTCGCTGACAGTGTCAGACCCGGGAGCAGAAGCCGAGGGCACGAAATTTGAGCCGGACGACGGCGGCGCCTTCTCGGCTGGGACAACGGACTCTGGCGCCTTGTCACTGATGGAAATGGTAGCTGCGGGATCCGGAGCCGCGACCTCGGCTATGCTCGTCGGCGGCGAGGCGACGTTAGCTTTGTTTTCACCATTCACCGGTACTCTGTTCTGGCTCGACGGCTGGGGCGCGCGTGCGGGTGCGGGCAGCCCGCTGTCTTTAGTCGCGCCGCCGCCGCCGGTAGATTTGTTTTCACCGTTCACCGGCATGCCGTTCATGCTCGGCAGACGGGCGTCCTCCTGCCTCGGTGCCGGCGGGGACGGCGCGCCACCTTCCGCGGCGTCGCGATCGAGCGTCTTGACGGGATCCCTCCGCTCCGCAACCTGCACACACGCGCGCGCGTGCGTTTTGTATAAACAATTTGTCAGCGAGACGACGATGATCTCAAGGCGCGCGCACGCGTCATAACTTGGTCATAACAAACTACCTTGGTGGCGGCGCCACCGCGGAGTGCGCGGGGCTGCCTCGCGGGCGCGGCGTCGTCGATCCCCGCGTCCTTCTTCCCGGCGGCGCGCGCGGCCACTGCTCCGTCGCGAGCCGTGCGCTGCGGCGGCGACGGCGGCCAGTGCAACCTGCCAGCCCCGGTGTGGGGTGGCGACGCGCTCACCCTCGTCCTCCTCCGTGATCTCCCGGGGGAGGCGGACGCGAGCGCGAGGAAGGACGCGGCGGACGCGACCGCCGACGACATGGCGGCGGCCGGGATCGGGGTGGGTGATCGTGATACGATGCGCGGGTTGGTCCGCCCAGAGCGCGGCGCAGGCGGAGGTGGTGGCAGTGGGAGTGGGGAGTAGCGCGGCAGTGGGCTGGACTGGACTGGAGTGTGCTCTGTGTGGGGTAAACGCACGGGGTCAGGCCGAGGAAATGGCCGCGAGCGGGGGACGGCGACGACGGCGGCGGCTTTACACGAGGGGTGGGTACGTACGAACGGCCCCCTGGCGGCTGGCGTGTTGGGTCTGCGGTTTGCGGGCGAGCACGCGAGCAGCGCACGAGGGCGGCAGCCGTTCCGTTCCCCCGCTCGGTCTCCAGCTGCGGCACAACGAACGGCAGGCTCCTCACCAGCTGACAGCCTGGTCCTACCCTGCGCCGGCCCCGCCTGTCGGTGCCGCCAGTGAGGTGGACGGGCGAGCCCCACGTTTTGAAAGGGCGAGCGGAAACAGCGAGCTCCCAGGGAGGGCCCAGCTGTCAGAGGGGAAGCGTCCGTTGCAAAATCCACGTGAAGACGGAACGGGGCTCGCGGCGAAGGAGGAGGCCCGCGTTGATTGTGTAGATAGATAGAGTATACTGCAACTGCACTGTTTCGTTTGTTGGTTTGTGCATGCCTGCGCTCTCCACCGCAAACGCAGTGCGGCACATGCGTTCGCGCGTACGGGATAAACCAAACGAAGAAGCTTTGCAGTTTGCTTGCTTGAGTGACGGCCTCCGAGAAGTGACAACTTGTCTTCTTGCTGCGGAGCGGAAGCACACTGCTTTGCTTTTCTGTTGTCCAGGTTGTTTAGCGCGCAATGAGACCAACAACCAAGGACGAACGTGGTTAGGATAAACTTTGTCTTCCGAATCTTTTTTTTCCATGGCGGTAGTGGTTGTTTGCGGTCCTGGAATCTTAATGTAATGTTTTATTATGTTTGTGTTGCTTTGTACTTCCGCTGAATTTACATAATAGATTTAAATCATTTTAGAAAAAAAAACTACTTATGTACTTCCTCCGTCCGAAAATACTTGTCATTAAAATGGATAAAAAGAGATGTATCTATATTCCTTCTTTTTGATTTTGATGACAAGTATTTTCGGACGGAGGAAGTAGGATATAAAAATAGCTTTTTGACATCCGAACGCAACCCGACCTGAACTCGTGTCTGATTTACGAGCACGGTTTGATCCCAGGATCTCCTCGTTCCAGCGTAGCACTGCTAGCCATCACGTCATCGTCAAGTTCGTGTTACGCCAGTAGGGCGCGACCAACTTGAAGGAAAAGAGTCGGCTTACCACTGCCTTTTCCTTTAAAAAAAATTGTTTTCCTTGTTTGTCACCGTTTTTTCTTTGTTTCTTATTTTTACTAGTTTTTTTCTCCTTTTCTTTCTCCTTTTCTTTGTTTTCCTCCGGTTCTCTTTGTTTCTTTCTTGGTTTTCAATGTTTTCTTTCTTGTGTTTCCTTTTTTTCGGTTTCTTTGTTTCTTTCTCGTTTTCATTTGTTTTTCCTCGGGTTCTCATTGTTATTTTACATACATTTTCGGTATATATCTAATACATGATTAACATGATTCAATACAAGTTTAAGATTTTTTAAATACATGCTTACATATTTTCTATACACATTTTTTAACATTTTACAAATGCTCGATTACATTTTTCTAATACAAGATTAACATTTTCTGGATACATGGTCAATGTTTTTTCTATACATTTAAAGTATTTTTCTAAATGATTGATTAAATTTATAAATACAAGATTAACATTTTTTAATACATGGTCTACATTTTTTATACACGTTTAGCATTTCTCAAATCCTTGATTAACATTTCAAAATATTTGTTATTTTTCTAAATGTTTGATTATTTTTATAAAATACATGATAATTTTTTTACCATTTTTTAATACATGCTAAACATTTTTTGTATACACATTTAACATTTTTAAAATGCTTGATTAAAATTTTTCTAATACTTTTTTTAAAAATACTAGATTTAAATACATGATCAAATTTGTTCATACATATTTATATTGTTTTTGCATACATTTTTTGTATACTTGATAAACATTTTCTCTATACACATTTAATTTTTTTAAATGCTTGGTTAATATTTTTTAGTTGCTTTATTTAAAAAATAAAAAGTTAAAGGGGAAAATGAAAATAGAAAACGTGAAAAAAATGAGGCTATGGCCTCGCGTGCGCCTGGGCCAGCCCATCTGAGGCTCCCCTTCACTTGAGGGTTCCTTAGGTCTCGCTATAAGCTAGACATAGGGACGCTCTAGACTTTTCCCTGCGAAAGCTAGGGTTTCTTTTCTCCCGGCGGCGATATTTTCGCCACCGTCGAGGCCTTCACCTTTCCTCCTCCCATCGCCCCAAGCTTTCGATTCGGGCCGACTACGGGGTGATCCTGCATCACTACCCGGCCTTGATTGTTCCCCTGGTGGTGTAGGAGAGTTAGGGCTAGTTTCAGAAGTCCGATCGTGTTTACCTCGGGATAGGGTTCTGGTTTTTGCGGAGATGGGATCGACGGAAGCGTCTGGTTCGTCCTCCGCGTCTGAGGTAGAGAAGATGATGGCTGAGTTGGGTCTCCGTGAGGAGGACCTCGACGATGTCGTCTTCGATGAGAAGGAAGCGCCTCCAGAGGCAACTAGATGGACAGCGGTGGCTAGGGTTCATATCGACAAGCCTTACAGCCAATACTGGTTCTTCAAGAACATGAGGGCGGCCTGGGATCTGGCTCACGACGTCAAGTTTCGTCCCCTCGAGGATAACCTCTATACCCTGCGTTTCCAATGCCTTGGTGATTGGGAACGGGTGATGCAGGAAGGGCCATGGAACTTCAGAGGTCATGCGGTCATCATTACCCCATATGATGGAATCACGAAGCCAACCGAGGTCAACCTTGACACTCTCAATATCTGGATTCAGATCCATGATGTGCCTGATCTCTACGCACATCTGGTTCAGCCCCTAGCGGCAAGAGTTGGGGAAGTCCTGTTCACGGAAACCATGACACAAGACTTTGCAGGGAATTTTTATCGGGTCTGGGTCAAGATCAATGTGCACAAGCCTCTAAAAAATGCGGTCACCATGGTCCGTGATGGAAAGCGACCGATTTATCGTGTGAAGTATGAAAGCCTGCCGGACTGGTGTGCAGTATGTTGGCATCTTGGACATGTCTACAAGGAGCATGGCAATGGAATCCATCCCCCATCTACGCTGCACTTTAAAGATCTCAGAGCGGACTGGAATATGCGTGTTGGTGCAGGTCCAGGGGCTGGCCGTGGACGAGGACGCCGTGGCGGTTGTCGTGGTGGGTGCTCATCTGGACGGGGACCTGATCATGGCAACACGGGTGCTGTAGACCCAGAGCTGCCAGGAGAAAATGATCCTGATGTGGTCATGGTAGAGGTGGAAGATAACAGGAAGCGTTTGGCTGGATCGGATGGAGTAGCCAAGTCTGCTCCCCCCTTGCAACATCAAATGCACTAGCTTTGTCTCCTCCTGAAGTGCCTGCAAGTCCATCCTCAAAGCAGGACCCAAAGAGAACCCGGGATAGTTTTGACAAGAATGGCATGAAGAAGAACGCTGCTCAAGAGAAACCACAAGACGCAAAATCGGCGACCTCCCGTGTGGAGGATCGCCGGGCACAATGAGTATCATATGTTGGAATTGTCGCGGTGCGGGCAAAGCTGCGACAATTTGAGAGCTTCGTGAACTAGCAAAGCAATTTGCCCCGACAGTGCTATGTATCGTAGAAACACAAGTATCTAAGGCACGTGTCGAAAATCTTGCTGGTACTTTAGGTTTTAATCATTCGTATGCTGTTGGTAGTTCAAGCCGCAGTGGCGGAATTGGATTGTTCTGGAATGATGGAATAAATCTTGATGTTTTTGGTTACTCTGAGTACCATGTTGATGCAACAGTTTCTAGCTCAGATCAGGGCGAGTGGAGGCTCACGTGTGTGTATGGTGAAGCACAAGTTGGGGAGAGATACAGAACGTGGGATTTGCTTAAGTCTTTCGTGTTATTAAATGAGCTACCGTGGTTATGTATCGGTGATTTTAATGAAGTCCTTCACCCACACGAGCATGTAGGTACTGGGCAGCGAAGACATGCACAAATACAAGCTTTCAGGGAAGCCATGGACGTGTGTGCTCTGGCTGATATCGGTCATCAAGGTAAACCATGGACCTTTGAGAAGAAAACTGCAGGAGGCGGGTATTGTAGGGTACGCCTTGACCGAGCTTTGTCTAATATGGACTGGTCATCTAGGTTCCCGCATGCTAATCTTACTCACGAAACGGCAGCCTCTTCGGATCATTGTCCGATCAGAGTGCAACTGGAACCTGTTAACCCTGTCCAACTTCAGACAAAATTATTCAGATATGAGGTGTATTGGGAAAGAAATGAGGAGTTTGGCTCGTCTCTTGATGCGATGTGGACCGGGACACCAGATGGACAAACAGTTACGCAGATGAGTAAAAAACTGGGGGACTTGTCGGCCTCGTTGAGGCAATGGAGTGCAGATACGATCGGATAAGTGGGTAAGGAAATCAAAAAGCTGAAAAGGGAGCTGGCCATTTTGCAGAACAACCCCCAGAGGATCTGACCCTCACATGCAGAGACGAAAATTGCGGACAAGCTTGTGGAGCTCTACCACATGGAGGAGATTAAATAGAGACAGAGATCGCGTGTGGATTGGCTTACGGCGGGGGACAAAAATACCAAGTTCTTTCAACGGCGAGCTAGCCTTCGTCGATGAAAGAATACCATAAAAAGTCTAGAGAGGTTGGATGGAACGACTACGAACGATCCCGCAGAGATGGCGTCACTTACAAATGACTTCTACAAAAACCTGTTTGCTTCAGCAAGCACGACAGGGATAGATACGGTTCTGAATGCAGTCCCAATGAAGGTTACTAATGCGATGAACATGCTCCTGACTGCGCCCTACACCGGTGATGAGGTGAAAAAGGCCCTTTTCTAGATGTACCCTAC